GGATAGAGCGATGGAGAGAGAAAGGTAGGTTGTGGAGTAGCAGCGTAGAGGAGTTCCACTTAGCAGCAGCGTAGAGGAGTTGGAGTTTGACATGCTCCATACTCGGTTTGGTCAACGTTTTATACAGTAAACGTTCACCTGGCTCTTTCCCCGGGCTGTGCGTTGACCTGAGCTTGGGGCCAGGTAGGTACCCATGTTGACGTGAGTGTGGACCTGGGGGTGTTCTCAGGTTTACATGGGCCTGTGCCAGGACCTCAGCCAAGGGGTAAGAAAAAAAAAAAGAAGAAAAAAAAAAAAACCACAGGCAGGCAGGCATGTAGCAGACAGGCAGGCAGGCATGCAACAGACAGGCAGGCAAGCATGCAGCAGACAGGCAGGCAAGCATGCAGAGACAGGCAGACGTTAATTTTTTTTTCTTTTTTTTTTTTAGACCCGCCTCTTTCAAAGCAGAGGTCGAAGTTGTAACCCGTGTCCAGTCTCACACGTGCCCTGTCGCTGGTCTGCCCGTGCAACCCCGTTGACCTGGGTCTGTGCCCAACGCTATTTTCAGGTCTACGTAGAGTCGGACTTGGGCTTGGACCTGTGGACGCATGGAGGCAGGACCTGGTCTCGCCCTGTACCTCCGTTCACCTCGGTCTGGGCCCGCGTGTCGTGAGGGCACACAGGTTGACCAGCTGACCGGGCTGGTCCACGCCCAGGTGCAACTGCTGCCCGGTGTCCAGTTCCAGGGGTTGACCTGCCGCTGGTCTGCGGGTCTGTACCCGTTGACATCGGTCCGGTCCTCGGTTGTTGATTGGGTCTGGGCCTGTACGCAGGCAGGCAGGCATGTATGCGCCTGTACGCAGGCAGGTTGAGAGAGAGAGAGAGAGAGAGAGAGAGAGAGAGGGGAAGTCAACCTTTATATATTGCTTCCTTGGGTTGACTTCCATCTGCACCTGGGAGCAGTTGACCAAATTACAGGTCCATATGGGCCCAGGTGCAGGTCCTCGACATAGGCCCAGAGTACGCCCGGATCATTTTCCTTGCTGTTTTTCCCTCTCCCCCCCCCCAGACGTTGACCCGTACATAGGCCCAGTCTGTCCCTGAATCTTGGGTGTTTGGTCCAAGAGGTTAGACACACTGACAGACTCAGACAGACATGACAGAGAGAAAACGTAGACAGACAACACACAAACAACAGACAGTCATGACATAGACAGACGGCAGACTGACAGGAACACAGAGAGCAGACAG